TTCCTCTAGTTCCTAAAGGTTTCCTCCCCGCTCCCACTACCATGACTCGAATTCTATCTTGCAAGACTGGCTAGACCAGAGGAGGTACACTGGTACAGATAGGAACTGAAAATGCAGGGAATCCAGGGCGGATGAGCCCTATAGGACCAGTGGTGTGAGTGGCAAAACAGGGAGGGTAAAGGGAGAATGGGTTGGGAAGAGGGAACCGATTACATGGAACTGTGTGTGACCTCCTCCCTGGGGGACAGACAACCGAAAAGTGGATGAAGGGAGAAGTTGGACAGGGCAAGATATGACAAAATACCCATTTATAAACTATCAAGGGCTCATGTGGGAGGGGGGAGGGGGGAGGGAGGGGAAAAATGAGGACCTAATGTCAGGGGTTTAAATGGAGAGAAAATGTTTTGAGAAATGATGTACAAATACGCTTTACACAATTGATGTGTGTATGGATTGGGATAACAGTTGTATGAGCCCCTAATAAAATGTTTAAAAAAAAAAAAAGGCACAAGTAAGCCCGTGCTTACCCTGCTTATTTGGTAATCCATCCTCAACATAGGTAGTTTATCCATAGGATGCATTAATGTTGTGCATGTATGTATAAATGTGTCCACGTGTGTATGTGTGTAAATGAGTATATCATCATATCTTAGCATGCAGACCAGATAGTTTGTCATCATTTTGCTATATACTTAAGATTTGATTGTTCATGTGTCTGCGCCAGTCTTCAGTTTATTTTTAAATGTATATACGTTTGGGGAAAATGACTTCTCTATAAGCATAAGGCTCTAAATGTTAAAAGGTTTTCTTCAGATAGAGTTATAATTATTAAACACTATGGATCCAACAACATAAATGTATATTTGGGCAAATATTTATAAACAAAATATAGGTTTACTGAAAAGCAATCATTTAATGCTATAGATGTTTTCTCTAGTTAGTTCATATATCATGAATGAATATTAGCTATTGTCAAAACAAGGTCAGACTCAGCACCAATTACACCCATTTTTTCTTTTAGTGTATGTGGATGGAAAGAACTTTGTAGCAGTCATTTATTTATTAAAATTTTTTTTCCAGTCATTTATTTTTTACATCTTTTATATTCCGTAAGTCATATAATGAACTATCATTTTCCTCAATAACCTGGTAAGCCCTTCAATTGTGTTGACATCCCAAATCTGGAAATCATTTGATTTGCAGGACTCTCTATCCAGTCCTTATGGAGCCCTAGTGGCATAGTGGTTATGCATTGGGATGCTAACCACAAGGCCATTAGTTCAAAACCACCAGCTGCTCTGTGGGGGAACGACATGGCTACAGGGGCAATTCTACCCTGTCCTACAGGCTCATTTTAAGTCTGATTTGACTCGGTGGCAGTGAGATCCTGTCATTAGCCATGCATTTTCTGGGCCAGAACACTTGATACTTTTGAAGTCTCTTTGGGCCCTTGGAGTCTTTAAATGTCCAGGCAGTGTACTCTTATAAGGTCAGGGCAGGAAGGTGCAGTGCAAGGTGGTGGGTGAAGGGCAGGTAAATCCTAGTTGTGGAACCAACTGTGACTCATAGTGACCCTGTAAGAGTACAGCTGTTCTATACGGTTACCAAAGCTATACTTTGTATGGGAACAGATTGCCAAGTCTTCTCCCTGAGTTCCTAACTGGTTTGAACCAATGACCTCAGGAGTCAAGCACTCAATCATCGTGCCACCAGGCCTCAAGTGCAGGTAAGGAAGAGGAAGCGCCTGACCTCCCACCCACCACCCCGGGGGGTTTCTAGACAAATCTTATGAAGGAAGGAGAGTGTATGGTATTGTTTGGGAAGAATTTTCTTCATTCTGTCGGTGTATGTGATCCTTGGACCCACTTTGCGGACAGCTTGGAGTGGGAAGACGGCCAGACTGCAGGTGCCCTGATGGAGATGCTGTTCAAATGCACTTTCCAGGTCCTCAGTGGAGCCTGAGTCCCCGGACTGCCATTTACCTGCACAGCTAGGGAGTGCAGACCTAGGAGACGACTCATCCACCCCACTGGAGGGTGCACCTCCACCTTCTCAGAGGACAGTAGGATGAGTGTGTGGGCTAAGTGTGTGGGGTTCCACTATGCAAACTCCTCTGGGGCACTTGACGGACCCTGTCCTTGCCCATCCCCAGGACAGGTGTCACCTCTGCCTAGGTTAGTCCTGGATAGTGGGCCAGGTATGTGGGTGGGGGAATGACAGGGACACGAGAGCCTCTATGAACCTAAGAAGAAACATCTAAGAAGTTGCTTTGTCAGACAGTGACCATGGATCCAAGTGGCCTTCAAAGTGGTGGGTAGAGGATAAATGAAGTTCAGGAGAAGTTAGTTGACTGTGGAGATGTGCTAGGCTGCCCCCCAAGGAGGGCCTTTGTATGGTTAGACATTGGGCTGTATCTATAAGGGCAGCAGTTCGAACCACCAGCGGCTCCAAGTGAAAGCCAGGTGCTTTCTACTCCTGTGAAGTTATAGTTCCAGAACCCCACAGGGGCAGTCCTACACTGTCCTGTAAGGTTGCCATGAGTCAGCATTGACTAGATGGCAGTGGGTTCTGTTTGTCTTAACCCAGTCATAGACCTCTTTAAAGTGAAGAGCAAGGCTGTCACTTTGAAAATGAAGGTGTATTTGGCCCATGCCATGGTATTTTCAATCGCCTTATTTACATCTAAAAGTTGGACAATGAAAAAGGAAGACCAAAGAACTGATGCATTTGAAATATGGTGTTGGTGAAGAATATTTAAGTACTGTGGATTTGTGTCAGTCTGGGTACTTTAGAGAAACAAGTCCACAGAGACTCATGTAGGAGAGTTTTCT